GCTTATTTGTCATCGTATCTCGAGAGAAGCGGGGTGGTGGCTTCCTATAGGGTCCGAGGGGGTTCCGAAGAATCAGCCATTCAAGACACCTGGACAAGTGGCTTCCCTAAGATTAGGGCCATTTTCGTCGTTTTCTGCCGCAGGGGGTAACGAATCAGTTGGTGTACCATATCCCAAATTTCGGGGTCGGTTTCATTCCCGCCTTCGGAGGAGCTACTTAACAGCTCCGACCCTTTTTCCCTATTGTCCGTTTCCTCGAGGGGTTCCCTCCAGGTGATTACGTGGGTGGTTCCCCAGTTTTGGGGGGAGTTTTTCGGGTCGTAGGGAGTGCAGTCTAAAGAGTTAGATGCATCGGGATGACGTATGGCTTCCCGCCCGTATTCCTAAGAATGATCGATCGTCTCTCGAAGTCGAGATTCACTCTTAATGCGGTAAGGGTTGGCAGCCCTAGGAGGACGTCGTAGGTATTCACATCTAATACCACGACATCTCCCAACGCATTTGTCATTCTTCCCACCACTTTGATCTTTTCTTCGTTGGTCGAGACAAGCTGATCTCCCTCTGCTAACGAGATCAGATCCTTTCTTCTGCCGGCCCGTTCCACGACCTTTAACGAAATGGCGAGGACCGCGGCTCCTGAACCGACGATAGCGTTGTACGGATTTTCCCAAACTTCTACGTTAGAGTCCGCGGATTTCCACGGAAGGGCCTTAATGTGAAGGAAATGATCATCTTTTCGAATGAGTCCTAACCGTATCGGGTTCGAGGTGCTGGGGACATCGAGTTTGTCTTCGCAGGCGGGGGCTTTCCCTTTGGTGGCTGCTTGCTTGGCAAGGGCGAATCGTTTTCGGTTCGCCTTGCAATGTTGCAACATTCATTCATTCGCCTGCTCCGATATGGACACTAGGTGTCTGATGGGCAGGGGGATTCGATGATCCAGGGCTTAGACGATGTTCGGGACATTGATTTCTCCCGTAACGAAGGTAGGGCCGCCAGATTCCATTTCTCCGGGGGACGGTCTCCCCTTGGCCGTGCGGACAGCCACACGTGCTCCCAATACTCTTGGAATTCCTGATCCCTCAGACACTTGTGGTTAGTAATACGAAAAGGGAGTTCGATGTTCATGATGCGGGGTGAGACGGAACGGTCATTCGGAAAAGTGGGGTCGAGTACAGGCTCTGCAGACATGCGTGATGACCGCGTTCTTCCAGTCAGGCTTACACGTGCGTGCACAGGGCCTGCCCTCTGGTTCGATCAAAAGGAACCAATGACTCGCGTTTCATACGCTCTGGCCTGTCAACCAAAGGTGGATGGTCCTATTGCGAGACAGGCATCTGGTCATCTGGCATACTTATTTAATTCAGACATCACCACAACGTCGTCCTGTAGTGAGATGGTCATCTAATAGCCTATCCAATTCATGCACAAGCAGGATTACGCCTATCATCCATGATTTAGTTTTGAATCGAGGTCTATGCAACACTTCCTTGGCCAATCAGTCTGAAATCGCGCAAGGCCCAATCGTCGGGGATCAATCGATTAGACTCGTCAATCCAAGAGGACAGAGAAGGGGAGGGGAAAAAGACAACCATTCATCAACACCCGAGGAGAGCAAATGAAAACATACACGTCAACAGAAAGGAGCAAATGACAAGTCTGAATGCCGATGCAGAAAGGCAAAAGAGAGGCGACTTGCGCCGAATACCAAAATTGCTTTGAAGGAAAGAAGAAGAATCAAAATGACTTAGAGGGATAGAAAAAGAAACTCATCTCACACTCCCCATCTCTCTCTCTCTCTCTCTCTCTCTCTCTCTCTCTCTCTCTCTCTCTCTCTCTCTCTCTCTCTCATCACCTCGATGCGGGTAGTCCGTCACCTCGCACCCACACAGAGTTGTCACCCTGCTTGATCCAAGCATGCAAGCTAGGTTGCCTGTGTGCCGCAGTCCATTGCGGCCCTATGTCAACCTCGCACGCTCAGCATCAGCTCGTCGGATCGCCCAACTCTCTACTCACCTGCGAGCTTTCACCCGTTAGCCGATCCTCTCGAGCGCGCTAACTTCCAAAATCCTTAGAGAGCGAATTAATTGCGCTTGCGAAATTTTTAGCATGCATGCTTGCACGAGATACTCAGGATTTTGTTTAGGTGGGAGGAAGAAAAAGGAAAGGAGTGCCTACGCCTGCATGGCCAGGCCGCGGCGTGGGGGACGTAGCCACTCTCCACACATCGATCCGGTCATGCAAGTGTTCATGCCAATGGGACGGGGAAGAGGTATGCGCGCGAAGGCACCACAAAAGATATAAAGAACGAGAGGATTACAGTTGCAATCACGCCGCCAAAACAAAGATTACAATTACATGTGTGAGATTAAGGCGCGGAAAAGTCAGAACACAGTTCCTGACGCGGCCGAGCGTGAGCAAGCAGGAAGCGCCGCGCAGCAGGAATTGAGATGCGCCCAAATTCCTAGTCTAAACCCTAATTGCAAAAAGAAAGTCCGCACAAAGCAGATTCTGGGAGCCCGCGGGGGCTCGACATCAGTTGAAAATTTAAAAAGATTTCCCCATTTCCCACAGCAGAACAAGAAAGAAGCTATGACAACGGTTATTCGCTGCGCTCTCTGAGGCGCGATCATGTATCAACTATCGTAGGACCAGACCAGCCTTCATTCGAAAGAGACAAGAAAAGCAGGGGCATCCATGCAATTCACCAGGCCATCCGGACTCAACCAATTTCATCCCCTGAAATAGCCTTGCGCAGAAATCCGCGCGGTTGTAGAAAGCAGTTCGTCACACCCTTGCCTCTCGCATCACCACATCTTCCAGGGGGGGGGTATCCCCAAGCACTCCATCCCCATCTTTTCTCTCCTCCGTCTCAACGTCCACCGAAGTTGGCCCAAAAGCATCCTCGAAAATGTCGGTGAGGGGGGCAAAATTTGTCAGTCTGTTTCCCCCCATTTTCTGGATCACCCTCTCTTTCTAGGAGCGCCGCATATCTGTTTTCCCCTTTTTCCCATTCCCCCCCCCCCCAGTTTGCTCTTTCTGTCCCTTGTGTACCATCACTCCTCCTTTGCCCTTACTTCCACCTCCCTGACCCCCCACTCCCTCTTGGAGTGTTGTCCCCTCAGTCTGCTCCTTTTGTCGTCTGCTCTGCACCATCTCCCACCTTTTGCCTTTGTCGGTTTTTTTCTCTTTTTCCTGAGTCTCCCTTTTCTCCCTCTTCTCCGTTTCCTTGCCCTCTTTCCCCTTGTTGATTAGTGTTTTGCTTTTGGGGTGCTGGGGTGGAGTCCAGGTGACCGGGGGGCGTGCCCCCCACTTCGGTTCCCCTTGGCCCTCCCATGTCCACCCAGATCCGGTACTCGTCTCACCCTCTCCTTCACTCTGTTCTAAAAAAGCCCAGCCTTCATGACCGGGGTCCACTGTATGCCACTTAGTTGTAAACGGATCCCTTTGTAGGCGGCCGGTGATGCGGTCCCGTCTGAGTGGGTGATGAGGACAAGTGGTATCTGAACACAGGTGTCCATAAGCACGACATTTGAAGCACCATGGCCTCAACTTATGAGCTGTGTGGATCTGATACAACTTGCCCCCCACCTCATATGGGATGATGCCATCCAGTGAGAACGGCTGGCCCTGTGGGAGGTCCAGGGCCAGCATAACATAGTTGTCCCGTTTTGCCACATACGCCGGGAGCGGTTCACTAAAATCTACTATGTTGTATTGTTGGCCCAACTTGTGTATGAAGGTGGCTTGCACCTCTACCAGGATGTGTCTTAGTTCCACCCAGAAGTGCTCCTGCATCATCTGCTCTCTCTTCTCTTCAGGGGACAGTTTTCTGGGGAGCCATGGGTAAATCCGGACTTCCGATCTACCACACCTCAGTCTCCTCCACGCGTCCATGCACTTCTTGTCTTGTTCGAACATACTGAGTACTGTGTAGATTATGGAGGAAATAGGTTGTATAAAAAAAATTTATTGCACTGCCTCCGAACTCCCCTTCATTCCTTCAAGTTGCTTACATATCCACTTTATCTTTTCATTTGTTGACATGTAAGCCGCGTCATCGTGAAAAACCCAGTTACTCCCGTGCTTCATGTACACCCCCTCCTTCTCTTCCAATTTATCCTGTGGGTAAGCTCTGACCAACAATCTTCTTCCCCCTTGATCCATCACGCATTTTTCTGCAGGTTGCATGAATGCAAAGTTACGTCGAATGTTTCTATACAGGTAGATGAACCATCCGTTTCTTTCTTTTTTTCTTTTTTTGAAAAAATTTCCTTTTTTGAAGTTTTTTCCTTTTTAAAGGGGGGACAGCCTGAGATATTATCATCAGACTGGCCTAGAAGTTATTGTAGAACTTCACTCTGCTCCCAGTGGAGTTTGAAGTTTGAGCTCAGGTTTGTGTTTCAACAGCTCAGGGGTGTACCAACTGAGCTGGCCAGTTGGTGGAGGGTCCAAATATGTGAACTTATGTCCAATATTTCAGTCTGGGTACGGGATTGACGCTGATGCGAAGTTATGTCGTATAATTTGCTCTTCATGGGCATGTGCTGACACTGTCTACATGAAGAGCAAAGTGAGGCCATCCGAAGAGAGAACAGATGGCCAAAACAAATGGAGTGCACATGTCAGTCAGTAAGCCTTTTGCCAGGAAGGCAGTGTTTTCCCACAGGGCTGCAGCTATGTAATCTCTGTTTGTCTCTCTGTCTGTAATTCAATCTCCCTTTTGGGAGAGAGAGAGAGGGAGGTCGCGCGAGATAGATAGATAGATAGATAGATAGATAGATAGATAGATAGATAGATAGATAGAGAGAGAGAGAGAGAGAGAGAGAGAGAGAGAGAGAGAGAGAGAGAGAGAGAGCAGCCCTGAGGGTCCAGGCTCGGGAGTCAATGAAATAAATTCAAATAAAAGCATTCAAACGTCATAGTTTCATGCTGGATACTTCCTGTCTTTTGATTTTTGACCTTCTCTCCCGCGTTATGTTTTTGTTCCCCAAACAATGCAGTATCTTCACGAACAGAAGCCGATGGTTGTCCATCGCGACCTGAAGCCGAGCAACATATTTCTTGATGACGGACGGCATGCTCACATTGCTGACTTTGGATATGCACGTTTTCTTCGGCCCAGCGACATGTATCTGTCTGGAGAAACAGGTAACATAATTCTTCCAGATGCAATACGAAACTTCCCTAAAATGCAATAGGAAACTTCCCTAAAATGCAAAAATGCACTTTAGTAAGACTCTACCATTGTCTAAACTTTTGCTTGGCGGTGATTCGCAACCGAACTGATGCCCCCCAGAATAGATAGGGCATGCGTGTTTTGTGTTAAAAAAAAAAAAAAAATGCCATTAAAAAAATTCAAAATTCATCAAATCAGTCACCATCTCACCACAACCTGCTGAAGAGTGCCTTGTGTTAGGCGTTGGGTGGATGGCATACAGTTTCAGAACGCATTTTGCAGTAGTTTGTCAACAGACGCACTCGTTCCGAGGGTCAAAAAAGAAAAGACTCACAAAAAAATTGATAAAATAGCGACGAAAATACTCCCAAGGGACAATCATGTCTCAGATTGGACTTGAAATTCCAGACTCTGCTCTTGACACACTGTGAAAATACAAAATATTGTCTTCTGAATGAACTGGAGTCTAGCAATGTCCTTAAGCACCACTACCTTTTGTGCTTGCATTGGTTGGCACGAGGCCTTTGTTTTTTTCTTGGTTGGCCCATTCGATGGACGATCTGGGTGCCAATGAGGTTTTATACATCCATGGGGGCTAGTTTGGGGTAGTGCCTGCTTGACTGAAATGACAAAAGAAAAGTAGCGATGTAAAATCCCAAGGTTTTGGCTGCCCCATTGCCTAACTGGCGTGTCCCCTAGATGTTCCTACCTAGTCAGCATCCTCTCTCTCTCTCTCTCTCTCTCTCTCTCTCTCTCTCTCTCTCACACACACACACACACACACACACACACACACACACACACACACACACACGCGCGCGTGCGCGTCTTCGTCTGTCTGTTTGTCTGCCCGTCCTCGCCCCCCTTCCCCTCACTGTGGCGTTCTCCTCCTTCACTCTGTGTGTGTGTGTGTGTGTGTGTGTGTGTGTGTGTGTGTGTGTGTGTGTGTGTGTGTGTGTGCGTGCGTGCTTGTATTTGGGATATGTATACATTATTATTTGAATTTATTTCAGCTTCTTGACTCATCATGGCAATCCATGGCAGGCACCTACATGTATATGGCACCGGAAGTTGTGAGAAGAGATCAATACAACCACAAGTGTGATGTGTACAGGTGAGTGGTGAGGAGATGTAACTTCGGTTTTCTTCACCCTTATACTGAGTATTTCAATTTACACCACACTTCTTGTATTGTTTGAAATTTGAATCGTTTTTCAAGTTTGCAATTTTTCCTCTGAGATTTTCATCTGTCCGTCGGATGGTCAATCTTATCTTGGTAGCAAAGCTGGATACTTGGTCGTATCTTCGGTGTCCGAATGATTTGGCCGGACCATTTGCTTGGACCCGGACAAATAGTCCGAAAATGATCTGCGGTTGCCAGGTAGACGTAGCCAGACTTGTTCCGAAAGGTCCGAAACCTTTTTCCAGACCTTGACCAAGAGTTGTCCAGGTGCACCGCCTGGTCATGCAGACCCTAATAGTCCAGCCAATACATCTAAAGTTCTCAAGGAATTTTGAAAAAATCTGCAAAAAGAAAGATGCAATCTGCAAAAAGAAAGATGCATGTCATCCTTCAGGACATCCATTAAACTTGGAAAGATACTGAGAAGATGAGCATGGCCCATGTGCAAGGATGTCACATATAAAATATTATAAGTCAACAAATGGTCCAAATTAAAAGCAAAAAAGAAAGATGGATTGTGTATCGTTAAGGAAATTCGTAATTCGGTCCAGCCAATTTCAAAATTCATAACCGAACTCATCGGAAAATATGTTTTTTCTTGGCACTTTTTGCCCGTTTTTGGGAAACCCTGGTCTCAATCGGATCTGCACATGCAGATGGTATCTGGACCCAAGTTTGGGTTGGTTCCAAATGGCTTCCGCACATTCACGTCTGGGGGTGTAAACAGGGCTGAGGCGTATGAGATTGAGCAAGCCTAAATCCAGGGGGAACTACAGTGGGCTGAAGTCCAAACGAGGGGCCCACATGCCGGGAAGCATGCCTGGACTCTGGAGTCTCGAGGACCTCAGAGCATACGAAACCTTAAACCGCCAGTACCTTTCTCAGCTATCGATGCTGAGCTTAAAAACGCTCTGCGCGCCGAAAAAAAAAACGAACCGGCACGGGCCTCATTTTGGCTGGCGCCACCAGCCATTTCGGTCCGGTAGCACGGAACCCCGTCGGCTTCCCGCGTTACCCGGTGGTCCCGGCCCTTCATGGCAAAAAATAGCTGGGAATGGTACTGGTGGTTAAACTTTAACCGGCAACCCAATCATGTACCATGGTAGTAACAGGTAAGTACTAAGTTACTATGAACCGTTAAGGTTGGCACTGAGTGCTGGTGTGCAGAGAACCTTTCCTTTTCACTCGCAGATGGTCTCTCGAATGAATGGCCGTATGTGTGGCACCTCATTCCACAGCCTAGTAGTCTCTCATCCTATTTGCCATTGCTGCAGAGCATCCGTGCGAACAATTGTCGCTGTATCGTCCCATTGTATATGGGTGTTGCAAAGGACACATAGCACAGCACTTTCACAACACATTTGGGAAAGGGAGGAAATCCAAACATATGGTGTAGTCTTAGCTCTTCAATCCTACTGGTAGTGGCGCCACTCTATAATCTACAACAAAACACAGACTTTCCCAACAGTTGGGGAAGAATTTAATTCTTACTTTTGCCGTTCGCCTGTCCAATGTCACCCTTATCCCTGTAAACTTTKTTTTTTTTTTTTTGGGGGGGGGGTTGTTTTTCAAAGCCCAGGTTGTTGTAGAGGTTGGATTCTAGAAAAAAAGTGATGGATAATTGAAGGCCTGGCCTCCCTGACCAATGTGCAACAATCGGCTCGAGAAACCGTCCAGTGAACAGCAAGTTCTCACTGGGTATGACTGCTCTCTCTCTCTCTCTCTCTCTCTCTCTCTCTCTCTCTCTCGCAAGCAGCAAAAATATGATGAACGAATTCTGATTGAGGGTTCTGCCCCAACTCGTCACTTTTGACGAGCAGCTACTTGTCGAGGCCTACAGGCCTACAGTGTCCGCCTACCACAAGAAAAGCCTAAAACTAGCAGCCAAAAAGATCCGACCACTATACTAGTACACAAAGGGCCCAGGTTCAAAACTCATCTGCTTCAGAACGGTGAAAAAAAAAGAAAACATGTTAACTGTTCTTACTTTGTTTGGTCCCAGGTTCAGATCCAGGTGAGAACAAAAATAACAGAGACTTGAAATAAAAGCAGGTAATTGGGCAGGTTGAGGGCTCAAATCCTGCAATCCGCAACAGTATGTTTCGTCGCTTGCACATTTGCCAAAATCGAGGGCATACTCACACTAGAGCTTTTCTAAAGACATGTCGGTCAACTGGGGCAGTAAGACCCTGGGGTGGTGGATGAACCATAACGGCGGCAGATCCCCGGAGCGGCCTGGGGTCACCTGGCGCCCGCTGGAGGTCCCATCCGGGTCTTGGGGATCCAATTGTCGGCCGCAGGAGAACCTGAGAGCAATGATTAATGGATAATGGACCCGGCGCTCCAAAAGCTGGCCTCATGGACAGACAAAACACACTTCACTCTCTGGTAGGGCTCTTGTTATTAACAACGTGGGGCTCGCACCTCTTTGGTATAAGTCGGCTAGCTTCGAGATTGCTGAGACAGCGGGTTGCCGCATTCCTGTGGCGAGGGAATTATGAAACACAGAATGTGATCAGTAGGGTCACATGGGAGGCAATCGTTCAGCCTAAGGCACACGAAGGCTTGGGGATTCTCGACCCGGCCCTGCAGTGGCTAAAACGTTTAATCTGCACACCCGATCTTCCATGGGAATATCTAGCATTAGAGCAAATAGCAAGACTGCCCCCTGAATCCCAACCTTCCACGCATCCCCTTGTTTGGCTGGACGGCGTGTCTTGGGCAGTTCCCAGGCCCTCCCGTAGGCCGGGTGTACACTCGGACCGCGCGGCAGCCCGCACAGATCTTAAAAAAGATAACTGATCCAGGACTGGCGGCGGCTCCCCCTCCCGGACAGACCAGCGCCCAGTTGGTGGGAGGGGGTGCTCCGCCAACCATTGTTCGGGAATCTTTGGATAACGGACCGACTGGGAGATTTTTCACAAGCTCCGGAAGACCATGGAACTCTTGGGTCAAGCACGGGGTCCACAAAGTGGAACACATATGGGACAACACACGTAACGATTGGATAACGGAAGCCCGACTCAGAAGTAAATTGCCACACTGCCACTGAATTGGGGAAAATCTCGAAGAGGTTATTTTCTCCCTCCCTTTAGCATGGACGCGAATATTGCGACGTGGCCCACGGCTTCTGGAGGGAGATTGGGTGGCAATAGATGGAGACGAGGCTCGTGTTGGTCAAGTGTTGTCGTCTAGCCGACAGAAAGAGCTGGTGAATCTGTTCTGTAGGACCAACCAGAACCGGCTGGTACGCGGGGTCCCGGATGAGGTGTTCTGGCTCCCGAAGGCAGGTATGCACAGGGTGAGAATGCTGAAGGAGGGGGATTACTGTTTAGTCTTCAGGCCCAAGCTACCTATTCAAAATCTCCCCATTGACCCGGGAGAATGGAGGTGGCGGATCCCCTCGCGAGACCCACGTCCCCGATACCGGTACCTGCACGACTTGGGGGTTAAGGCCACGTACATGATGTTAAGATCCCAAATCAACTTGAAAGATCGCATTGTGGACCGATGGGCGAAGCATCTGAACGTACCATTGGAGGCACTGAGACCAATTAAATAGTTTAAAGAAGCCAAGTGCAAACCTGCTAAACTGGCCTCGCTGCAATGGCAAATTGCCCATCGCTGCCTCCCCACAAACGCATGGCTCATCGATCACTCGAGCCTGGAACAGAAAGGCACTGCCCTCCGATGGTGCGTGGCTTGCCTGGAGGGTTTTTCCGTCCCACAAGGTAAATGAAACAATTGAACATCTTTTCTTGCAATGTCCAGCCTTAACACTCGTCTGGCGATGGTGGGCAAGAATCTGGGCAGCCCTCGAAACTGACACAGGCTGGCCATGGGAGTGGAGAGCCCTGCTGTGTGGACATTGGACTGCCCAAGTTTCGGTTTTCACCTCTAACCTATTTTCGATTGGTAGGAAAGCGGTATTGTGGGCCATCTGGAGGCGCCGTTGCATACTGACCATTGATGGCACACATATGGGGAGAGGCGAGATAACAAAGATGATCAAGGACACAATTGAGACAACAATCAGGGCTTGATGGACAGGACTAGTACAGTTGACAAAGCTCTACCTGAATGAATTCTGCATGGACTGGCTGGGAGGGGAACGCGGGGGGAGGATAGCAAGGTTCCAATGGGATGGCTAGCACCTGGACGACGACCAGCGATTGGAAGCCAGGCAGACAAATTTTCAACTCTGTTTTAATGATTGGACCACGATCCCTGACAATATCCCCCTCCTCCCTTCCACAGATTTCCCAGACCCTTTCCCCCTCCCTAATCACACATTGATGGAATTAAGTTGGTATGGTAAGGAGTAGGGAGTGGAGACAGACCGCGCAAACTGGGCAGGAGTGAAGCTTGATAGCTGGGCTGTAGGAAGGACGGATGGGGCTCCTATTTCCGGCCGGCCCCTGCAATAAGGTGTCCCATCCTCATCTTTCCAACTGCCACCTACCAAACCCTCCCCTGTGCCGGCTTGAGCAGGATCCTGGATTGGCATAGGCAGAAGTCAATAAGTCACAATCTATCCCATAATCTGTGCAGTCAATCCCCTGGGCTCCAGGGCCATCAATGCTGACAGGTCCCTGGTTCATCTTCCTGATTCATTTTCTCCAACAAATTTGGGTTACCTGATGTTGAAGGGACGCTGGACCCGGTTTCCAGCAGGTGAAGCTCCCCACCAATAGATGGAGCCTCCCCTAGGGTGATAGTGGTGTCTGCTCTTACCTCACTATCACCTGTGCGGGATTGCTTTTCAAAAAAAAAAAAAAAAAAAAAAAAGAGTATCTGACTGCAAGTACAAGAAAGTCAGAAAAAAAAGGAGCTTTTGCTATGATCTTGGTTGTCTGACGAATTTTATCGCCACTCACACACACAGTCTCATACATGCCCATACATGCATAAGAGATGGGGAGAGAGGAGAC